CCCCCGCCCCGCCTTCAGGGACAAGCTCTCCCTCCTCTGCGAGGAGAGATCGTGTTCCCCCCCCCACATAGCTAGCAATCCAAAACAGTCCAGTGGCACCTTCAAGTTTTATTCAGGCACAAGATCTCCCTCCTCTGTGAGGACAGATCTGCACGTCCCCCCCCCACACACCACACAATAGCTAGCAATCCAAAACAGTCCAGTGGAGCCTGAGCTGTGGGTGTTGCCTTCTGACACACTTCCAGTGATGTCAGGGGGTGTGGCATATGCAAACGAGTTATGCTGATGAGTTATGCTAATGAGCTGCACCTCTTTTTCTACGAAATGACCCCTGTCACACCTCTAATGTAGCCAATCCTCCAAGAGTTTAGGGAGCTCTTCTTACAAGGGCTACTGTAAGCTCTCGGAGGATTGGCTATTTTAGCGGGGGTGTCACCTAATATGCAAAGGAGGGTTCCTGCTACAAAAAGAGCCCTACCGGGAAAACCCACCAATGTTCACTGTGGAAAAAAAAACGATTCTAGTCCAATTATATTCCACCAATATGCTTCTTTTCCTCTTTATTTTACGTCATGCAGTGCCTGCTTCTTCCGCTGCTTCCAGACAACTGCACTGCATGACGTGAAATAAAGAAGAGAAGAAGCATATTGGTGGGCTGTAATCGGACTAGAATCACTTTTTTCCCACAGTGAACATTGGTGGGTTGCAACCTTTGGTTTGCCCGAGAGTGTTGTTGACAGTAACTTTGTCCAGGAGTCTGACAAGGAGCAGGTCAGAGGAGATTCGACCAGATTCAATCTTAGTTCGGTTTGGTTTTGATGTATGGAGTCGGTTTGCCAAATGTCCTGCCGTAGAGCAGAACATTTTCACTAAACCCTTTTTCCACTACTGCTCATCTGCATGTGTGTGTTTCAGAGTCAACCCAAGGACATGGTGACTGACTTCGACGAGAAGCATGATGAACATTTAGTATTGCTTCAGCAGAGAAACAGGTAGGCCAGGCTCCGTAGTTCGCTGCATCGTCAGACACAAGATAGGTCACTGGCAGGAAGGAAGCTGGTTCAGGTTTTTAGATCTATCTTGCACAAGCAAGAACCCTTTACCCTAAACTTTCTCTTCTGCAGAAAAGAGAATTTGAAATCAGGAAGTTCATAAAATACAGCATGAACTTTCTTTTAGGATCCTGGGGGAGCAGGAAATCAAACTATAAATACGAACAAAATGGGGTCAAATTGTTGTTTTTGTTGTATACTGAACATTGGAATCCACCCTAAGCCAGCGTGTTTAGAGTAGTCCTGCATGGGATTGCCATTCTCAGATCTGTTAGTTCTAAGGGCCAGTCATTGGGCTTGGACTGGAATAACTGCCTAGGCCTGTGCTGTAAAGTGCAACAGAGTGGAGAATGGCTGATCTTTTGGTTTCAGGATTTTGAGGCGTCTCCAGAGGAAAGACCCCATCCAGGTGAAGCTGGAGCAGCTGGAGCAGGGCTTTACTCTGTATGTGAACGGAGCCCATTCAGAGCCGAGCACCTGCCGCAAGAAGGTCAGCTTCCAGTACGCTTCCAGAAGTGGTACGCGAACAGCAAGGGCAAACGGTGGGTGTCCGCCTTCTGGTGCAGAATTTACACACCCTGGGACAGCCGCCCTGGCGGTGAGCAGCAAGTAGTCTGCAGGTCACTGGTGGATGTTGGCCTGTTCCAGTAACGGGTGTCATACTTTGTTCCTAAGTGAGAGCACATCTGGGTCAGGTAATCCTGAACATAAGCTGTGCCTTTAATTGGTGAGAGTTCCAGAGTACTCTTTTTTTTTTTTTGCTTCATACATAGAAAATACATCAATGAACCTCAGGCACTGCAGTAAAGACAAGTCTGCCTCCTCAGATTGAAGTTAGCCTATCCCTGTGCCAGTCCACTGGCAGTGAGATGTGTCTTTTTGGGAAGGCAGCTGGGCTTGCTGCCACGGGCAGTGCCTGTAGTAGCAGCCAGGAAATGAAAATGTCCCCCTTTTGTTGCTGCTGCTGCTGCTTTCTCCTGCAGTCACTTTCCTAACATTACTGCAGATCACACCCTTAATTTTTTAACTCTTCCTGCCAAAGGAATGCCAGGTGGATGGCATAAGCTGCAGCATTTATTGGCACCCTGTGTGCTTGGCAGGTGCAGCTGGACGTACAGAGGGACGCTTTATCCCTGTTGTCTGCTGCCCAGTAGCGACACTGCTCCATAGACAGCTGAGACAAAAGACACCTTTAAGGAGAGGACAGGCGGAGCCAGAAGAAGAACGGGGACCGCCACTGAGCTTCCCTGCCACTGCCCCCAGTGATCCGGCGGGAGCAGGAGAGTGTGCGCGGCACGGGATCTGGCCCGTGGCTCTCCTGACCTCCCCATCCTGGCGCTGAAGTCCTGGCCCGCTCTGAAAAGAGGGTGGAAGGAGAGGAGGAGGAGAGCTCTCCCATGTTCTGGAAACAGGCAATACTGCCGGCAACACACACACACACGTTTTATGGACAGGGCTGAGAGACGAAACAGGGACAGGCCCAGGGCTGGCTGTTCTTGTCCAAGACACAGGACTCTCAAGGTACCTTTTCGGCACTTGGTGCCTTGTTTCCATGGGATCATCCGCAAATCAGCCTATAGAAATTTTAGATGGTTTACATTATTGGTAGCCCTGCCGTAAACCAGGAGAGCAGATTCTCATGACCTTTGATCCCTCTCAGGCCCATGACGCTGCCTGCCCCTGATTTCCTTCCAGATCCCGGCCCGAGAGCTCCGTTGACCAGAGGAGACGCAGAAGGAAGGAACACATGGAGTGCCCCAAGTAAAATCCAGCGCAGAGAAGGCCCCTGGCTTCAACCCGGGTGGATGGGGTGGGTGGGGGGAATCAAGAGACTCCTGAGACATTTTTTGAGCCTGGGAGGTTAGCCTGGCTGGGAACAGCACCTTCCTTGTACACTGCGGAGATGGCTTCCTTCCAGCCCACGGGCGTCTCCATTGGCCGCCGGTCATCAAGTGAAGAGAGAAGCAGGGTATAACGTTTCTGAACAAAATTAAGTGGCCCCTCGAAAGGCCAGTGTCCCCTGACCTCCTGTTTCTGCTCCTGCCCGAGACTGTGTTTGAGGGGTCTGGGTAAACAGGTGTGTCTGGGAGGTGTTCTGAAATGGAGCATTTCAGAGAACAGCCAATAAAATGCAGGAAGGGCATGTGGGGTTTGTCTCTTTTTAAGGCTAGGGGGAAAAGATGATGACAGAAGGCAAGAGGTTTATAAAGGGATGCACAGTGCAGAGGTCCTTCCCCACCCCTCCCCGCCTTTGTAATTCTAGAACTCGAATCGCCCAATGAAAGGAGTATGCAGTAGAGGCCCAGGGAGGAAAAGATGGACACATTTTTTGGGGGGGGGGTGGATGTGGTTTTCTTCCCCCTGAGGACTTTTTTGGAAAATTTGGGGGAGCACTAAAAAAAACTGCTTACACTGTCGACATGCGCAGTGTTTTGCATAGTTTTCTAACCCTTCAGGTGGCCCCGGAGTTCTCCTCCCAACAATCCTCTGGGGTAGGGGAGTCCTGGAGAGGGCTGAGTGGCCCAAGGTCACTCAGAAAGTTCTGCTAAAGTCTGAGATGAGCTTGTACGTTTCCTAGAGGGCCGTACAGATCAAAACAGAAAGTGGATCTAAGCTCTACGTCGCCCCTCCGGCAGAGTACTCGGATGATTTTGAACCTGAGGACAGCCTCGACCTGGAGTCAAGCGACTGTGAACAGAATGGCCGCTCTCAGGTGCGCACACCTTTTCTCTCCCCCTGCCTCAAAAGCCAGCAGAGAGGAGGGGAGGGAGCTATCTCTTGCATGCCTCCCCCCCCCCCCCCCCCCCCCCTGGCTCCCGTTTCTTCAGAAGGCCCTGATCCTTGGGTGATGCCTCCAGGAAGACCTCTGTGCCTGCTGCTGGCAGTGAGGGAGAGGGGCTCATGCGCGGTGCTCGCTTGTGCTCTCTCTCTCTTAAAAAAAAAAAAAAAAAGACATCAAGAGTTCTCATGTCTGAGGTAATGAAGCATTTTTTTTAAAAAAAACTAATATCCCGGTAGATCACTTTTCCTGGAAGCACAACGAGAACTTTAAAAATGGTCATCATCCGTATTTTGGATTTCTTAAGAAGGATTTTTCTCTGCCCTGGGGATGTTTTGGAGCTTGCCCCCCTTATAGCCACTGAGTTTCAGCTGTGTCCATCTCAGATACGCATGGAATTTACAAGCAGCCTCTGTGGATGCAGGCCTTCTCCCCCCCCCCCCCCCCCCCCTTGCGGGGAGCCAGTTTGGTGTAGTGGTTAAGTGCGCGGACTCTAATCTGGGAGAACCAGGTTTGATTCCCCCACTCCTCCTCCACTCGCACCTGGCTGGATGACCTTGGGCAAGCCATAGTTCTGACAAGAGCTGTCCTTGAAGAGGAGCAGTTCCTGTCAAGAGCTCTCTCAGCCCCACCTACCTCACAGGGTGTTGTCTGTTGTGGGGAGGGGAAGGGAGAGGAGTTTGTAAACCGCTCTGAAACTCCCTTGGGTAGTGAAGGGCCATGGGGTATAGATCCAATCTCCTCTTCTTCTTCTTCCTTGGTCTACAGGACGGTCTGTGCATCCACAGCCCCCAGTCCTGGAAAATCCCTCGCTGAGGTTGCTCCTGTCCCCGCAAAGAGCATCTGTGATCCCATCAAAAGCTTCCTCCTCCCAGATTCTGTGGTTGGGAGCCCAGAGGCACACCCCCCCTTCCTGGTTTCTTCACTGCTCTCTGGAGCCTTTTTGCATTTTGAGGAAGGAGTGACACGCACACACACAGTCACTTGTCGTTTTCTTCTCTGGGCAGTTTCCACATCCCAGCCGCCAGTACCGTTTCTCCTGCTAATTTGAATTAGGATAGCATTGCCCGTCAGGAGGGTCCACGATGCTTATTCAGACCGGCAGAACTAGAATATTCGTGCCAGACAACCAGATGACATGCCTAGTTTTGCTCTCAGCTGTTTGCTTCTCTGTGTAGAGGCAGATCTGCAGCGAGTTCTGTCTCTTCCAGGGCCCCAAATCTCCTAAGGACACTGCCTCCAGTGCCTCCGTTCCAAAGGCAGAAGTAACTGTGGGTGAGGATGCCGGCAGGGAAGGCCTGCTTGTCGGCCTCTGTGAGGTAAAGGTGCCAAAGCAACTTTGTCTTGTGTTGGGGCCTCTTCATAGCCAGCAGTGGCTCTGCCTGTATCCAGAGTCCACATCTGACCTGAGGGTGGGTGGGGGGAGCTGGGAACAGGGAGGGGCCTCCTCCTCCGCCTCCTCCTGCTGCTGGCCTTCAGTTCTCCTTTGAATCTCCTGTCTCGGCATGCAGGTGAGAGAAGGGCAGACCCAAATAACCGCAGGTTTGAGAGGCTCCATTTAGTGCTCCCAGCTGAGATTTCTGAAGGTGCAGAGATTTAATATGTTTGCAATGAACTCAGAGCTTTATCCATCGTATTTAATGACCCAGGAGTTTGGGGGGGGGGGGGTTCGCACGTCCTCTGTGTGGGATCTTGCTGACCGTCCTCTCTGGAATGTTTGCCAGGAACTCCAGCAGAGCTTGAAATTGGATGTGAGCCGGGAAAGCATGGAAGAGGACTGCGTGGGCTCTGCCCCTCTGGACTTGAGTGGCGGGGAGGACTCCGACTCTGTGGAAGAGGAGGTGCCTGCTCAGCCCTCTGTTACGGAAGAGCCAGTTGACACTTCCCAGGAGAGCCCCGAGTCCTTTCTCCTCCGGGCGGCTGCAGCCGCCTCTCTCATTGTGCTGGAATCTAAGGCAACCCCTCCAAGTAAGTCCAGGCTTTGACTAGCTCTGGAATAAATAGCACTGCAGGCTCCTTTAGAGATGTCTTCAGAATCAGAGGTTTCTTTAGACCGCAAGCTGTTATATTAGCTCCAAAGAGGGAAGAGAATATTTTTATGTGACTGGAAGAGAAACCAGTAGACCCATCGTGAACCTCTGCTAGTTTGCCCAGTCTTGCATCTAGCATTTGCTCCGCTGTTCTACCAAACCCACACTGGAACAGAAATTCCCGTCTACATTGCATGCCACTTTCACTTTGATTGAGTGTTGCATTTTCTGGCAGTGTCCAGACTGCAGGCTGCTTTCACCCTGCTTGATCTCTCGGTTTTATGGTGGCCGTTTTATGGTGACTGCAGTCAGCGCGGTGTTGGCCCTGGGGTAGTTGAATGTGGTTTTGAACTGCATCTTTTTCTGTTCCGGTGTGGGTTTGGCAAAACAAATGCTAAATGCAGATTGGGCCCTAGATAAAGTAAAACTGATGCCAGCATTTTAAAAACTCATATGGTTGCCCCGTGATTGCCACCCGGTGGGTTTGGGGTGGCACGTTGCAGTTATCCTCACCTGCCGCAACACTGTGCTTCCACACAATCCAGAGGGGTGTGCTGGCGGCAGTGTTAGATCTGTCTAGCCTTGATGTCAAGAATGAGGTGAGGCCTGTCAGGTATTGCAGGTGAGGACTCACGCCAGGGTGCTTGGGGTACCTCTCCGTTACATTTCCCATATGCAGCTGAACTCGGCACCTTTCCGGTTCGGTTTTCCGACAGGCTTGAAGAAGGAGCGAGTGCTTTCTGCCAGAAGGAGGGAGAACGCGGAAGCCTACATCCCGACCAAGCCCGTGATGGTTAAGAGCAAGCCCATTTGTCCCCTCTCTGCTGGGTGTCTGAAGCAGGAAGAACAGGAAGCAGCCCCCACCAGTAAGAGAGATGGCTCCACCCCGCCCTCTCCGTCTCTCCGAGCAGCAGGAGGAGCCCCAGGGCAAGCCCCGGCAGCTGGCAGAGTTCCGGTTTCTTCCCTGGGCCTTGGCTGGTCTGTGGAAGCACTGAGGCTGCCACCTTCTCATGCGATCAGGAAGAGGAGAGGGAAGGGGGCCGTGACTCACAGGCCTCTCCTCTGCCGGAAGCCTCCGTTCCCCTCCTAGCGGGTTTTCCTAACAGAACCGCCCAATGGGGCAGCTGCCAAGCGCCATCCTGGCTCTGGGAACATGGCCGCCGGCAGCCAAACGCCCTCCCCCGCTGCTCTGGCCTCCACCCCCCACCCCCCTTTGCTCTTTCTCAGCTCCCAAGAGGACTGTCTTTCTCCTCCCGCTTCTCTCTTCTTAACTTCTGGGGGGCACGGACATGCTCCAGGGGTCATTACTGCCCAAGACATAGCTTGATTTCGTGTGCCTTTCCACCATGTTTGCTAACCTCTTGAGTGGGGGCATCATTGAGGGTGGGGGGGGTTCCCCCCTCCCAGCTGTGTCTGGCATCTGTTTCTGGATGACGGACAGCTGAAAGGGCGGAGCCTTTTCCTCACCATCGTGGTGCTTCTGTTGCCCTGGAGCCTTCTCCTCCTGCCGGCCTTCCCTTGTCTGGCAGATCTCCGCCCTGCTCGCTGGACAGGAGGGGGGATTTGGCCTTGCTCCGTCCCTCTGCCGCTGGGCCCGCTCTCTGCTCTCTGTGGGTGGAGTGTGGCTGATGCCAGGCAATCAGTGGTTCTGTGGGGGGACTGTTTTGGCTGCTCTGGCATCCCAGGGGTGGAGTGGGCTGGGCACACCTTGAAATCAGTATCGTGTCCAGATCACGAGATGTGATGGTGCCCCTTTGCTCTGGTGAGACCTCACCTCTAGAGTACTGTGTTCAGTTTTGGGCACCACAATTTAAGGAGGACATAGACAAACTGGAACATGTCCAGAGGAGGGCAGTGAAGATGGTGAGGGGTCTGGAGACCAAGTCCTGTGAGGAAAGGTTGAAGGAGCTGGGGATGTTTAGCCTGGAGAGGAGACGACTGAGAGGTGATATGGTAACCATCTCCAAGTCCTCGAAGGGCTGACCGAGAGAGGATGGGGCGGAGTTGTTTTCTGTTGCCCCAGAAGGTCAGACCAGAACCAAACGGCTTGAAATTAAATCAGAAGAGTTTTCGGCTCAACATTAGGAAGAGTTTCCTGACAGCTAGAGCAGTTACTCAGTGGAACAGGCTTCCTCTGGAGGTGGTGGTGTGGGCTCTCCTTCTCTGGAGGTTTCTTCAACAGAGGCTAGATGGCCGTCTGACAGCAATACTGCGTCTGTGAACTCAGGCAGATCCCAAGAAGGGAGGGCAGGAAGGGTTGCCTCAGTGCTTAGTTCTTGTGGCACACACCCAGGAAAATGCTGACGGCCACTTTGGGGTCAGGAAGCAATTCGGGAGGGGTTGGTTTTTTTTGCCATCTTCTGGGGTCATTTGGGGGTGTGTGGAGGGGGAGGTATTTGTGAGCTTCCTGCATTGTGCCGGGGGTTAGACTAGATGACCCCGGAAGTCCCTTCCAACTCTCTGATTCTGCGCCACTCGGTCTGTCCCACGTGGCATGAAGCTGGGACTGAGCTTCCTTCTGCTGCCTCCCAGGTGTCTCTTGCAGGAACGTCTGCTCTGGGGGCTGTCCTTCTGCCTCTGCAGACCCACTTCGGCCTCAGGGTGGTGGTGGTGGTGGTGGTGCCTGCGACAAGAATACTCTGCAGCCCTTTGTGCTTCCGTAGTGTGACCCCCCTGGGGTGTCTTCTGCTCTTTTGGGTGCCAGGGCCGGCCAGCCGCTCAGAAAGGCCTCTCTCCGCCACTCGCAAGAACGTGTGTGAGAAGAAGGACCCGGCGCACTCTGCCTCCCTCGTCCTGAAAGCCGTGCGAGTGGAAAACGAGGCCCTTCCGAAGGAGCTCCTCTGCCGGCGCCAGGAGGAGGTGTCCTCTGTGAGCCCCCAGCCGGAGCAAGCGGCCCCCGCGGAGGTCAGTGCCAGGCCCCTCTGACAGGCCACCCATCGTCCCCTCTGGGACTCCCTGGAGTAGAGAGGAGGAGTCTTTTTTTGGGGGGGGGGAGAAGAATGGGACTGGGGCCGGCGAAATGCAGGCATCGAGAGCCCCGGGGCCCCTCTGCCAGGAGGAAGACGACCGGGCACCCCTTCCCTGTCTCTTCCCGGACCTCCCACCTGGCAGCACTTGGAAGAAGCACTCGGGAAGCTTTGCCGACAGCCACTCCTCTGTGGGTGGAGCCGGGGCTTCCTCAGAGGAGGGCCTCTTCTCCTGTCCGTGGGGGTGGGCGTTCCTGCAGGCTGCCCTTGCGTTTCCCTGGCTCCTTTGCACCCCGGTTGGCCTCAGTCAGACCTCTCCCCCCTCCCCACGTCCTCTCTCGCACAAAGTGGGGGAAACCCAGCGACACGTTGCACATGACGACACGCCCCAATTCTCATAACAGCAGCAGTGGTTTAATCGGACGTTTTAGAGGTATTTTCAGCCACTGTGTGACACAATGAGTGTTGGACTGGATGGGCCATTGGCCTGATCCAACATTGGCTTCTCTCTTATGTTCTGGAGGTGCTCAGCTCTGGTGACAGAATCCAGACTACTTAGGAATAGCACACAATCTTCCTTTCCAGCAAGAAGGCTCTGGGTCCCTTTTGGGAGCCGGTGGGGATTTTGCAGTCCCAGCGGTGAGGTTCATACAGGTCTCTGGTGAGCCCAAACAAGAGGGTCCCACCAGGTTCTCTGGGGCGACTCTGGAGCCTTGCTGCTGGTAAAGAAGTCCGTAGGGGGGCAGCAGCCACGCGCCTTTTTCCTCATCCCTTTGGAAGGGCTTTTGTGCAAGAGAGAGAGAGAGAGTGGCCACCCTTTGAGTGGAATACAGAGAGGCTATCGGGGATTTTAAGCGAGCAAGAGGCCCCCAGTCTTTTTACATCCTTGGTACACACTACTTTCCTTTGAAGTCCATGGAAACCCCACAGAACACCTTTGAAATACAGCCCCTTCCTGCCCTATTAAGTAGCCAGACTTTTAAGTATTTTAAATGCTTCATCACTTGCTCAGATTTCTATATCCGTATCCTGCAGAGTGCAGGGGGGGTTGGACTAGATGACCTGCAAGGTCCCTTCCAACTCTAACATTCTGTGATTCTCTATCGTGTCACTGCGTCATTGACCTCTGATTTAAGTACCCCTGTCCGTGGAACACTAATAGTTATGGCCATGACTTGTTCTTTGTTGACTGCTGAATTGCGGCAGTTTATTCGTGTTTTCCATATAGTGTGAAACTCTTACTGTTGTTTATAAAAGTGGTCAGTGAATCAATAAATGTTTTTGAAAAGGAGAGAGCGGGAAGAAGCCGGCTCAGCTCCCAAGTTCCTGGGCGGGCAGCTCAGGGGGCCGGTCCCCCCCAGGCCCTTCAGCCTGCGGCTGCTGCTCCCCCCCCCCCCAGGGAAGAAAGGGAGGGCGGCCTGGCCCCTTCCAGACACCCCGGGGCATCTTTTGCTTCCTGCCCGTGAACAAGCCAGGCTCTCTGAAGGGTCTCCCCCCTCTCCCCTCACGCAGGGGCCATCACCGTCTGCTTCTGCAGCCTCCGAGGCTCCCCCGAAGCAACCGGAAGGAAGAGACCTCTCCACGGCTGTCGACCGGATCGGCCTCTTGGGAAGCAGGTGGCTGAGGGGGGTTGTTCGGGAGCCCTTTGCGCTTGCCCTGGGAAGGGGGTGCTGCTCTCCACTTTGCCGGACTGCTCATGGTCCAGGTGACTTTCCCTGTCACTTGGTACAAGGATCCTCTCCCGACATCCCATCCTCCCAGAATCGGGTCCACGTAAGGGCAGGGTAAGTGGGGGTGGTCGCAAATGCCATTGCAGGAGCCTCCTCTCGGGAGAGGGCGCGTGGGGGGTGGCAGCAGTCCTGGGCTGGGAGGTGAGCTGTGTGTGGCGACGTGGCCGGGAGCGCTGGCTGCCGTGGGGCTGGGCTGGGCTGGGGGCAGGTGGCTGCCTGTGTCAGGAGGAGGCGGCCCCAGCTGCCTGGGAGTTCGCCCGCTCACATCCCTGGGAATGAAGCTCACCAAAGGTCCTCTTGGGACAGGCCATGAATCATCGCCTGTCCGACGACCGTGCCTGCTTCCGACCAGGGTCTTTAGTGTGGCCGCCCAGGCTCCCCTCGGCAGGCACACGGAGAGAGCCTGAGCCAGTGCCCAGGTGCCCCCCCCCCGCCCCCCGGTCTTGGCCTGTTTGGGTCGGGAGCCTTTCTTTAAGCCCTGGTCTTCCGTTTGGTGTAGCAGTTAAGTGCGCGGACTCTCATCTGGGAGAACCGGGTTTGATTCCCCCACTCCTCCACTTGCATCTGGCTGGATGACCTTGGGCAAGCCGTAGTTCTGATAAGAGCTGTCCTTGGAAAAGAGCCAGTTCCTGTCAAGAGCTCTCTCGGCCCCGCTTACCTCACCGGGTGTCTGTCTGTTGTGGGGAGGGAAAAGGAAAGGAGTTTGTCAGCCACTCTGAGACTCCAAGTGAAGGGCCATGGGGTATAGATCCAATCTCTTCTTCTTCCTCCTCTGCCAGACCTCAGAAGAAGCTTCTGGAGGTGCTTCCGGAGCCGGAGAGCCCATCATTGGCCTGCCGTGACGCTGCAGCTCCAGGTCCCGTCCAGCCGGAGCCGCAAGCGGTGGTACGAAATCAGGTCTCCGTTACGGAAGGGCGCAGCTTGGTAATCCTCTTATCCTCCAGCTCCGTCGCGGTCACAGCGGGGGGGGGGTCAGCACCACGAGCCCAGCAGGCCTGGCTTGGCCGGGGAGGGGAGGGGAGGGGGCGACAAAGAAGGGCCCTGGGCCCCTGCGGAGGTCACAGCGGGAGCCTGAGAGAGGTCTGCAGGGCCATGGGGGCATCAGCCCTTCCCGTCTCGGCCATGAGGTCATTTGGACAGCATCGAAAGATGCTCCCGTGGCGGTCGTTGGCTCTGGGCATGAAACAAAGACCAGGTGGGGGGGGGGGCGTTGTGTTTCCGTCTCTCTCCTGCCAAGTGCCCCAAATCCCAGGCCCCTCGGCCAGCCACGTGGTAGCGCCGCCTCCTGGCCCCCTGGGCTGCTTGGCTCAGGACACACCTCCCTCCCTCTCTCTCTCTCTCTCTCCCTCCCCCCCCCCCCCCCCCGTCCTTCCAGGGCCAGCCGGAGTCAGGGGGGCGAGACGTCCGGGATGCCATCTACGTCACCCTGGAGGTCCTCTCCAACTGGGGGGGCGCCCCGAGGGTGGGGCTGGCGGAAGTGGAGTTCTTCGACCTGCACAACAGGAAGGTGTTTGTGTCTCCCCACGACGTGGACATCAGGCACGCCGACTCGCCCGGAGACCTCTGCTGCTTGGTCAACAGGAACCTGCGCGTAAGCCTCCCCAAACTGCCCCTCGGCCATCACAGCCCCGGCCCTTCCGTGGCCCTCTGTGCTTTTGTGGAGAGAGCCGTTGTGGAGGCTGCCGTTCTCTGGCCCTTTTGGTTGACTGGGACCTTGCCCTTCCGCACGCACACCGGTGTTTTGCTTGAGGGAAGCTGAACAGGACTCTGGCTTGGCCGGGCGATGGCTGCCATGGGAGGGAGGGCGGGCAGGCGAGGTGGGGAGCGCAGGCTTCGCCCCCTTCCCCACAAACAGGCAGCTCTCAGCCACGTGGTCCAGGCGGTGTTGTTTTCTTCTGTAAGCCACTTTGGGTCCCTTTGGGGAGAAAAGCAGCCCAGAACTGCCTTGCCGAAGACTGATGCCCCCTCCTGCCCGGCAGAGGCACGTGAGCTGGGCACGAAACAGAGCTGCGTGAGGAGCCTGTAGGAAGGCCGGGAAGCTTCTCTCCGCCGGCAACGTTCCACTTCCGGGCCAGCTGGTGCGTTTGAGAGACCTCGGAAGGCCAGCCAAGTGGCCTGAAATGCCGGCCCCTCTCGGAGATCCTGCCTCCTTAATCTGGACATAAATGTCCCCTTGAGATCCTGCTGGGCTGCAAAGCGGATTAACGCGCTCAGAATCCTCCTGGGTTGCCTCGCTGGAGGCTGCTGCTCCCGGAGGCCTTGGAGGGCGCCTCATCTTTTGCCCCCCTCTCTTGACGAGGGCTCCTCCCCCCCCCCCCGGTCTTGCAGGCCAGCAGAGACCCTTCCTCTTGGGCATGCCCTTTCCAGCCGCCCGTGCAGCTCTACTTTGTGCTCCGGAACCCCAGCCTGTCAGGTGACTTCGGGCTCTCCAGGATCAGGATTTGGAATTACTGCACGCCCCTCCTTGGCGTAAGCAATGGCATCTTTCGGGGGGGGGAGGAGGGGGGCCCTTTCGGCATTTCTAGGTTGTGAAGGAAACCTTCCTCGGGGGGAGGGGGCGGGGGGGAGAGGAGCCAGGCCAACCAGGGATCTGTTACGCACTCTGCATTCTTCTCGTGGTTGCTTCACCTCAGTGCCAGGGAAGTGCTTTTGTGACACCTTCGAAATGAGACCAGCCTTCCCCAGTTCGTGGCGGTACCTTCGGGAATGTCCGAAGAGCGAGCAGGCCTTTGAGCAGGATTCCGTGAGGCAGGGCTGCTAAGATCCACTCCGTTGGGGTTTTATTGGCATCGTGATCCAGGGCAAAGGCGTTCCTGGCACGACTGAGAAATTCCCGCCTGTGGATGCCGCGGAGATCTAGCCGGGGTTCCGGCTGCACGCGCAGAGTCGGTTTCATGCTAAGCCGACCTATGGGCCAACGTCTTTTGTGTAAGAAGCGCCACGTCCCGTGGCAGAGGGCAGCTAGCTGCCGGGCCTGAGATTCTCTCTGGAAACTGAGAGAGAGAGAGAGAGAGAGAGAGAGAGAGAGAGAGAGAGAGAGAGAGTCTCATTCAGAACCACCCCAGGTGGTGAGACAAAGAGGATTTTCCATGCTGGATTATAGATGAGCTCAGCTCCGTCCTTTCTGACTCATCGTCTTCTGTGCTTTTCGAGGTGCTCATCTGCCAGCACCAGTGTATGGGGGGGGGGTGTGCTGTGCAGCCCAAGAGAAGTGCCCCTTCCTGGACTTTCTCAAAGAGCCTGGATTAGGTCATCAGCAGAGGTGGGCCGCGGGCCGCCAGTCCAGGCGGTGAGACGGGGGGAAACAACCTGGAGTAAATCGACATGAGAGACTGGAGGGGGGAAGGCTTTGCAATCAGTGTATTTAGTGGCAGAGATTGCCGGGAAACTGCCAGCTGGGATGTGGCTCCCCGGCACCCTGCGTGTGTGTGACTCTGTCAATAGGATTTTTCCAAAGGCCAACGACCGTGGCCCAAATCAAAAACTTTGTCTGCTTTTTGTTCTGTTTGAACGGCCTCTCGCTGTGCGCATCACCTTCAGGGCTTCCCGATACCTCTTATAGATTAAAAAAAGAGCCCCTTGTTCTTCCAGGATCTAGACGTAGGAGCCAGAAGCGTCACTGTCTACGTGGACGGAAACCTGGTCTTTGCCGGCGAGTTGCCAAAAAGCCGTGGAACGACTGATCCAGAGGACAGCACCACCATCGACCTCCAAAAGAGCAGTCCCCTTCCCCCTGAGCAAGGGGATGGCAGGCTTTGGAGTGAGCAGCCGGGCAAGCTGTTGTTAAACCCGAACTCTGCTGCCGGGGGAAATCGCCCCGAGGGAACGGTGACTGCCCTCGGCCTTGCTGAGGCAGAAGGATGTCCCCCAGTGCCTTCAGACCCTGCTTCCATGGAACAGGTTAAGAGCTCTTCCTCTCCAGAGATCCCAGAGCTGGTCCATTCCGAGGATGAATTGTCTCTGAGCGAGCGAATGGACAGACTCTCTGGCAGGAAAACGACTCAGAGGGTGCCCTCTCCCTACGCAAAGAGCGAATCCTGCTCTGGAACGGAAAAGCTGCCTTTGTGGCTGGAATCGGAGCCTCCTTTGGACTTCAGCGAGAACAGGAGGGGGGTCTCCCTAGAAGCGGCAGGCGAGAACCCCCGTCTCCGTCCGGCTGCGCCTGAGAGAGGCGGCAGTGGGGGTGCAGGCGCCGCCGTGACGCTACCACCAATAGGAAGAGGGGAGTCCGCTGCCGACTCGGGGTTTCTGAACCTGCTCTCCCGCAAGTGCAGTGGAACACCTGAGCATGTTCCCCCCGGGAGGAGGAGAGGGAAGGAAGGATCCGGCAATGACTGTGGTGGAGATGACACTCCCCGTGACAGAGGTAAGAGAGTTCACGGCCAGCTGCTCCGCCTATATGGCTGCAATACATGGGGCCGTCCAGAAAGTCCAGCTGGGTTATTGTCAGGGGTGGGAGGCAGAGATTGTATCACCCCTGAAGTGAAAGATCTACACGGGGTTGCCTGTCTGTTCCCGGTGAAATTCAAAGGGCTGGTTCTCAGTTTAAGGCCCGATGTGGATGGGGCCCAGGGCCCTTACTGAAAAAATGTCTGAGCTCGCTTTGTCCATGCGCCCTGCCTAGCCATCCCCGGGTCTAGGGGTACAAAGGTTTGTGTGACTTTCCTGTACCTGCCCAAAGAGGCACACCTGGTCCATCTTTAGGAGGGCATGTAGGAACCAGAAGCTCTGCAGTGGGGAGGGGCCGTGGCTCAGTGGCAGAGCCTCTGCTTGGCATGCAAGAGGTCCCAGGTTCAGTCCCCAGAGGCATCTCCAGTTAAAAGGAGCAGGCAGGAGGGGATGGGAAAGGCCTCCGCCTGAGACCCTGGAGAGCTGCCAAGAGGGGCCGTGGCTCAGTGGCAGAGCCTCTGCTTGGCACGCAGGAGGTCCCAGGTTCAATCCCCGGCAGCATCTCCAGTTAAAAAGGGACCAGGCAGTAGGTGATGGGGAAGACCTTTGCCTGAGACCCCAGAGAGCTGTCAAGAGGGGCCGTGGCTCAGTGGCAGAGCCTCTTTTTGGCATGCAGGAGGTCCCCGGTTCAGTCCCTGGTTGCATCTCCAGTTAAAAAGGACCAGGCAGCAGGTGTTGGGAAAGGCCTCCGCCTTGAGACCCTGGAGAGCTGTAAAGAGGGGCCGTGGCTCAGTGGTAGAGCCTCTGCTTGGCATGCAGAAGGTCCTCGGTTCAGTCCCCGGCAGCGTCTCCAGTTAAAAAGGACCAGGCAGGAGGTGATGGGGAAGGCCTCCACCTGAGACCCTGGAGAGCCGCTGCCAGTCTGAGGAGACCAGACTGGCCTCCAGGGAGGGACCCATGGTGTGATTCAGGGTCAGGCAGCGTCATGAGCGGACAAGCGAAGCAAGTCCCGGTGGCTGACCCTGCCTGCCTTCCCTTTCAGAGACGCCTCCCTCCTCCTCCTCCTCCTCCTCCTCCTCCTCCTCCAAGGGCGCGAGGAGGGCCTCTCGAGCCAAGTGGAGCAGTGCCCAGGAGCACGCGCTGCAGGAGTCGTGGAATTCCCTCCTGAGGTTCAATCACTCTCACCGCGGCCGGCTCTCGAACATGGACTTCCAGGGCGACATCCTGGACGAATTCCTCCATCAGCAGAAGATCAGCCGGCAAGGAGAGAACCCCCTGAGGGCGAAGGATCCCGGTGCCGCCCTTGTGCCAGCGCCGGCGCTGCCAGGAGAAAAGTGCCCGGAGCTGGAGGAGGGGAGCGAGTTCCGGATCCCGGTCTTGCCTTACGGGCGGTGCCTGAGAATCGACATCCAGTCGACCTGGGGAGACCGTCACTACGTGGGCCTTAACGGGATCGAGCTGTTCAGCTCTGAAGGGCAGCCCATTCAGGTGGCCAGGATCAGAGCCGACCCGCCGGACATCAACGTCTTGCCAGCCTACGGCCAAGACCCCCGGGTGGCGGCCAACCTGCTGGACGGGGTGAACAGGACTCAGGACGACATGCACCTCTGGCTGGCCCCCTTCACCCCCGGCAAGTCCCACCACCTCTGCCTGGACTTTGTGGAGCCTTGTGCGGTGGCCATGATCCGCCTCTGGAACTACAACAAGTCTCGCATCCACTCCTTCCGGGGCGTCAAGGACATCGCCATGCTTCTCGACGAGCAGTGTATCTTCAAGGGGGAAATCGCCAAGGCTTCAGGGGCCCTCTCTGGAGGTGTGCAGGACCTTCCTTCCTTCCTTCCCTTCTTCTTGGTTTGCCACAGTCGGCTTAGCAAAGCAGGTGGGAGGAGGTGGCTGCCCCGTGTGTCGTCCCCCCCCCCTGGCCAGCAGAGGGCCCTTTGCCACTTGAGACAGTTTGGCCTGCTATCTTGGCCCGAGAATAGACAAGATTCTCCTTGGAAGTGAATTCTCCCAAGGCTTTGTGTTCAGTGATTCCCCAGGCAGAGGTTTCCTGCCCCTCTGCCCCACCTGGACAGCAGCGGGCATCTGTCCGCGGGGCCTGCCCCTTCAGCTAGGGCAAGGTTATTTGCCGTGCCTAGAAGGGCCTTGCCCTCTTCCACAAAACCCGCGAGGCCTTTCCTCATCCTCTCTAGCTGCTTTCTTGGCCTCTCTGGCCTCTTCCACAGCTGGGTCTTCCCCTGACCTCTCTCTCGGTCTCTCTCTCTCTGCCAGAGAGGTCTGCATGTCCTCTGCTGTAGTGTGTGTGTGTGTCCAGTAGGTGTGAGAAAGAGGAGGCGTGGAGCTCTGGGTCTCCCACAGGGGCCAGGTGATCCTCCCCTCCTCCTCCTCCTCCTCACGGGAATCTCGCCTGCAGAGTAAGGGGTGGGGGGAACCTTAGCGCTTGGCGTTGTGGACTGGAACGTGTCGTCACCATAGAGTTGACAATTTCAGCTCCAGAGCAATTTGGAGACACCATTTTGTTCACAACTGATGACGATATTTTGGAGGCCATATTCTGTTACGACGAGACCTACGCCGAGGAAGCCAAGAGCGTGAGCAGCCTGCGGTACGAGGAGGAACTGAAGAGGCCGGGGACTGCCGACGGGGAGGGGGATGAAAGGCCCTTCACGCAAGCCGGCTCAAGGGCCGAATGCCAGCAGGTAGGGCGCTACCAGCGGCTCTTGAGCGGGAAGCTGTCGAAAGGGGGGTTTCAGTGCAGCTCAGAAGGGGGGGGGGAGGGGAACGGTGCTCCTCAGAGAAGGCAGCTCAGGGCCCTCTCCCCCGGCCACCTAGGGGACCCGGTTCCTTCCTCCCGTTGCTTTTGGACTGAGTGGGCCGCGATGCTCCCTCTGGCCTTGAGAGGAAGGGGTGTATGCAAGACCAGCGCAGCATCCCCGGAGGGCTCGGTGCGGAGGGAATAGGTTCCCCCCCCCCCAGTGTTCCCTTGAAGCCAGTCTGGTGTGGTGGTTGAAGTGCGCGGACTCTAACCTGAGAGAACCGGGTTTGATTCCTCCACTCCTCCTCCACTTGCACCTGCTGGATGAATTTGGGCAAGCCCTAGCTCTGATAAGAGCTGTCCTTGAAAGGGCAGTCCTCAAAAGAGCTCTCTCAGCCCCCACCTGCCTCACAGGGGGTGCCTGTTGTGGGGAAGGGAAGGGAAAAGGAGCTTGTGAGCCGCTCTGAGACTCCTTTGGGTAGTGAAGGGCCATGGGGTAGTGAAGGTCCAATCTCCTCCTCCTCCTCCTTCTGGCATTTTTTATAGAGCCAAGAGCCAAGCTCCGTGCCAGAGTCCATCCCAGAGACGGTGGCCAAGGATCCCGGAGTCTACACCGGAAAGTGTAAGTCCCCCCCCCCCCCCCCCCGAGCTCCCTGCTGCGGCTTCCGGCAGCACTCTCCAGCATCCTGCCCAACGCCTGAAATTGGGGCTGCCCTGCTAAAATTGCTGGGCGGCTGATTCAGAACATGGGGAAGGAAGTGCTTCTTCACACACCGTAGACTCAACTTCCCAGTTCGCTCCAGTGACGGCGGCACAAAAGGACTGGCGGGTGGGGTGGAGGAGAGCTGCTGAGGAATGCCCCGGGGGGGTTGGGGGGGAGAGCTCCCTGGCTCTTCCAGAGGCGGCTCTGTCCTGCTGCCGCTTGGGTACGGCCGTTCTGCTTTGTTATCCAGTCAGTCCACACCTGCACAGGGATGACTGCCCAAGCCCCCCCCCCGGAGCGAGGGCACAATAACCGCAGCGCTGTCCACTGCCGGCTGATGCTCTCCACTGTCTGCCTCTGCTCTAGGCCTTCTGCTGAACTTCACAGCTTCCTGGGGAGACTCGCATTACCTCGGACTGACGGGGCTCGAGGTGGCCGGGGAGGGAGGGCAGGCTCTGCCCTTGACGCCGGACCAGCTCTCGGCCTCCCCTCGAGATCTGAATGACCTGGCAGAATACTCGGAGGATTCCAGGACCTTGGACAAGTGAGTCCGCGTTGGAGAGGGGCGGGGGGGGGGGGTCTGAGAAAGCAGGCGTGGCTGCTGGCTCCAGCCCCGGACGTTCTGGAAAGGCACCTTGTTTACCTTGTCTTGGGTGGGAGGAGAGGGCAGGCTAGAAATGCCACACGTAAATAAAGGGGTCACTCCCGACCCTCTTGCCATGATCCACTCTGCAGCGTTTTTTTGCTGAATCTGGCCAGAGTGGGAGAAGTGGCTGACTCTCGAGCAGGCTGCCCCAGGCCTCTCTTGCAAAGCACACGGGGCCTCGGTGGCCCAGAAGGCGGCCTCGCTCTGTACCTCCCCGCCTGCTGGTCACAGCAGTCCTCTGGGCTGAGCAGGAGCCCGTCACCAGGGGAGCCCCACGGCCTTCCTCTGTACGCCTGGTCTTTCCCCTGGGAACGGAACGAGCTCCTGGAGGAGATCAGGGCCCCGCGGGACCCTTCACAGTTCCGCAGGGCCTGCGAGACGGAGCTCTTCCGCCCGGCTTTCAGCTAGGGAGGAGCCGCTGCCACTGTGGCCACCCACGATCCCATGTGTACTTCGGGAATACTGGGCTGGCCCACTACCAAGGGTGCCATTCAACATCTGGCCCACAGGACTGGCCTGAAGATCAGAAGAGGACCGGAATGAAAACGCACGCCATTCACTTTAATACTGTTTAATACGGCGAGCATTTTAATGTTTAGGGTTGATATATTAAGTATGTTTTATGCTGTTTTAATGTTTTATGGGTTATGTGAAATCGGCATATTTTGCCGTCCTTTGTAAGCCGCCCAGAGCCTGCTTACCGGGTGGGCGGGGTATAAGTATAAATACAGAAATAAATGTGCCGTCCTCTGGCCACCGCCCCCTCCTTCTCCCTGCCAGCCCCTGCTGATTGGAGCGCAGGTGAGACGCTGCAGCACCAAGGCCCACGCAGGGAAGGCAAGGCGAAGGCACCTGGGGGGAGCGGAGGCAGCTGAGCAGAGTCCGACACGCCCGCCCCTTGTGGGTGGGGGGGGGGGGGGGGTGCTGGGAACATGAGCCGTGCCACTCGGGACAGGATGGCGGGATCCGGCCTCTCAGGGCCAGAGGCGTTTCACCCTGTTTGAGGGTTTTCCCGTGGAACTTCCACGTACCCCCGTCTGAAAGGGCACGCTTCAGTCGGAGGTGCCGAAAGCCCCGTCAGGCCGCCTCAGAGAGGCTTGCGGTTTTCTTCCAGGCTGATTGACGGGATCAACATCACGATGGAAGACGACCACATGTGGCTTATTCCCTTCAGCCTCGGCGAAGACCACCGGCTCCTCATCCAGTTCTGCAAAGCGGAAAGCATCACGGGGCTCCGCATCTGGAACTATAACAAGTCTCCCGAGGACACGTACCGAGGGGTAAGCTGGCGGGGAGGGAGGAATCCGGCCGGGGGCCTGTGGTGGGTCCTCCAGAGGGGCAAAGTCAAGCCAGGCTGCTCGTGTTTCCTCACCGGGAGCCGTCTTCCTCAGGCCAAGGTGGTCCACGTGTCGCTGGACGGCGTTTGCATCTCCCCCCCAGAGGGCTTCCTCATCCGCAAAGGGCCCGGCAACTGCCACTTTGACTTTGCTCAGGAGATCCTGTTTGTGGACTACCTGCAGGGCCTCCCCGCTGCTCCAGCCTGCGAGAGGTAAGTCCGTCTCTCTCGGTGGACACAGAGGCCCACGGGCGGCTGCTTCAGGGCACTGTGGCTGCATTTTCTCCTTTTCTCGGCAGACTGGAAATGAAGAAGACGGAACAAGCGAGCATGGACTATGAAGCTCCCTTAATGCCTTGTGGCTGTATCCTTTTCTCCAGCACAGCCGTGGCTCCCCAAGTCCCCAGCTTTCCGTTCGGCCTTCCAGAGCAGTCCTCAGGGTTGAGCAAAGCGACTCTCCCAAGGGCCTTCCTGGTTCCGCCCCGAGGTCCAGCCCTCTTTTGAGACTGGGGACTCCCGTTGGTCTTGCCTGCCCTGTGGATCAGTCCCCCCCCCTCCCGAGTGCTTTGCAGGCCCCTTAGTAGGAGGGGACTCAGCGTGTCCCGCCCCTGTGGTCACTACTTTTTGCCCATTCTGGAGAAGCAAATACAAAAACTGAGGGTCTCAGTGTTAGGAAGACATACAAAAATATATATCACTGTGTACAATAAATGTGTGTTTATGGCAAAACAATTTTATGCTTTATTCTTTTTAAATTATTCAATACTGTTGTCTAAATATTGGTTTCAAATATTACCAAAAATATATTTCACCCAAACAATACATAGAGAAAAATATGTTTCAGCCGAACAATACATCAAGTGCTGGTTTGCAATCAGAGAGCACCTTGACGGTAACACTATTACTGACAAGGTGCTCTCTGATTGTAAACCTGCACTCGATGTATTGTTTGGATGAAACGTATTTTTCTCTATGTATTGTTTGGGTGAAATATATATTTGGTAATATTTGATACCAATATTTAGACAACAGTATTGGAAAAATATAAAAAGAATAAAGCATAAAATTGTTTTACCATAAACATATATATTTATTTATTTATTCTTCACATTTATATCCTCCCCATCCCATAAACGGGCTGAGGGCGGGTCACAGCATTTCAATAAATGCAATAAAATTTAAAACGCATTAAAACATATAAAGACAATAGTCATGCTTGCCATAGGGAGAATCCGGCCCATCAATGTAACTAAGTATGGCCGGTCATGAGTGGGTGGGAGACCGCAGGGGGGGGGCTATGTGGACGCCCTCTGCCTCAGCCAAAGGCCTGGCGGAAGAGCTCCGTCTTGCAAGCCCTGCGGAATTGCATAAGGTCCCGCAGGGGGGCCCTGATCTCAACAGGGAGCAAGCATGCTCCACCAGGTGGGGAGGGGACCAGGGCGGAAAAAGCCCTGGCCCTGGCCGAGGCTAGGCGGACATCCTTGACTCTCAGAGCGTAAGGCTCTCCGAGCCATATATGGGAAGAGGCGATCCCTTAGGTATATTTATTGTACACAGTGATATATATTTTTGCCTGTCATTCTAGCGAAGCAAGCAAGCACGCCTAGAGGCTCCCTCGCGACATGACTCTCCTTTCCTTAATGGCCTTCTCCAGTCATCTTCCAGTTCCAGCTTCTAACGAGCTGGGGCGATCCGTATTATATTGGTCTGAACGGACTGGAGCTGTATAACGAACGGGGAGAGAAGATTTCTCTCAGTGAGAACAGTATCCTTTCCAGCGTAACGGAACTCCGAAGGCTGTGGCAAGGGGTGAAAGGTGGGCCGGAGCCTGCTGCCTGCCAACGCCCTGGGCCCTTCTGGGGTGGTGACCAATATTCCCTCTAAGCTGCGTTGTTTTCTGAGCAAAAATTCTCCTTTGTGAGCAACTGGCATTAAAGTTGTGAGCGAGCAGTTTGGCTCCTGCATAAATTAGTTTACTCTGGAGCCCTCCTTCCTGAGCTAAGACAGAAATTTGTGAGCCGGAGGCTAAAAAACTGTGAGCTAGCTCACACTAACTCAGCTTAGAGGGAACATTGGTGGCGACGTCCCTGCCAGGGGAGCCCGCCTGCTGCCTGTAACACCGGGGGGGGGGGGGGTTTCCCAAACAAGCAATAGTCTAAAATAGCCCATTTCAGTCACAAAAGATGTCAACAAGTTCAAAAGTCCGTGATATAGATCAAAGAAGTCCTGCAGCCTATGTCAAAGAAGTCCAGGGTGGTTTCCAGATATAATCAATCCCCCCCCCCTTTTTTTTAAGCTGGATTCATGTTGGAGAGGCATTCCGTTTAAGAAACTGTAAGCTTGGTGCCCATTTACTCCCACGGGTCTTTTCTTTTGGGGAATGTAATGGAAGGGCTTTTGAATAAACATGCCCAAAGATAAATGTTATGTTATGAAACTAACCAATGGATAGGATTATATATCTTCTTGAAAAAGGAACCTCGAAATGTGTGTACTGATTATATCCGGAAACCACCCTGGACTTCTTTGATATATATATCACGGACTTTGAAACTTGTTGACATTTTTTGTGATTGAAACAGACTGCTTGTTTGGGATTTTACCCCTATGTTACAAATGTTATGAATGAGACATTCTCTTTTATAGGTGTTGTGTTACTTTGCTAATTTATAATATAAAATTACACTTACATTTTTCATAAAAATACTTGAATCTTTTAAAAAGATTTTTGAAAGACTGTTGTCATTAGATAATTGGACATCTTTTACTCACAGTGTCACTTTCTAGTTGTTGGTTCCTACCACTGTGATGTATAAGGTTAAAGGTCGGCATAGGCCAACGAGCAGCTTGAATGTCAGGAAAGCCGGTTTCCATAGAGAGCAAGGCCAGGAAGGATCCTGTGGGGTGAGAGGAAGGAATCCCAGAGGGGTGAAAAAGGAAAGCGGGGCTGCTCCTGAAACAGCCGTTGAGGCTCCATGAAGAGCTGGGGGGGGGGGG